TAGCCTTGGATAAGGAGCTTAAATGTGAAATTGTGCCCATATAAAAGTATGACTGAATCTGCTACAGGCAGAAGAAACAAGGAGGCAATGAGGGCTCAGAGAGATGCTCCAACAGCATCCACTGGTTTCACCAATTCGCAGCAAGGATGACCCAAGCGATCATCCCCCAGCACTGCCTCCCGGCCCAACAGGCCAGACCCCTGTCCTTCAGGCCAGGCCTTCTCAAACTGGGAAGCCCACACGATCACCTGGGATGCAGATTCGGGTGTAGCGGGTGTGGGGCGAAGCTGAGCGCCTCAGTTTCCAGCAAGCTCCAGGAGAGGCTGGCCCTGAGGCAGCCAGGCGCTGGCCTGCTGCTGACCACCTGCTAGTGGATCACAGACCAGCTCTTTTTTTTTCTTTTTGAATGAAATAGAAGTGAGAGGGCATCATGTGTACAAAGGATAAATAATGCTTCGGGTTGTGCATATGTGTCAGGTGTAAGACACATCACTACTGCAGGCCGCAGTCACCACTGGAGAAGCAGTGCCCTGACCTGTGCTTGGCTGGCTCCCAGGGCTCACTCTCCCCCCAAGACAGCGCCGCTGCTGAGAAGTGCAGTGAAGTCCCTCTCTGGGCCACCTCCTGGCTTTTCTTCACAGGTCCCAGTTTCAGAATCACACAGACAGAGGCACAGGCTCCTTCACCCCACTGAGGCAGCTAGTAAAATCCGAAACACCCACCGCTAACCTGCCAGAGGTGACCGACATCCAAGGAAGGCTATAAATGAAATAAAGTAACCAAAGAACTGACGGCTCTTCCCAAAAGTAAACATGTTCGTTTTCTGTTTCCCAAAGTCCTGGTCACTCCTCCACAAGGGAAATCTCAGTCCTGAATTTCATCTGTCACAGTCTTTCCGCTTGAGTGGTTTGAGAGTCCAGGTCAAAGCAGCATGGCCTCATGACCGGTGGCTTACACGCTGTATGTTGCTTAGTCCTTTCTCCACCAATTATTTTTTGCCTAAAATAATTCCCACAAATAAGACTAAAACTTTTGGGGTATTCACGCAGGTAAATTCGTAGTAGCTCAGCCAGCTTCTTATATCCTTAGCACATTTTATTCAATGGGCTTGTTGAACATTCTGAGCACCCAGTATGTACACAGAACTTGCATACCACAAAGGACCCCTCCACCCACACCCTGCCAGCTGTCACAGCCTAGGAGGGGTAGGATTCATAAGTACAAATGAAAGAAAAGTACAGTTTCAGTGGGACAGTAAGTGTGCCAAGGAGGGTTATAGCTGCAGGGTGGAGAAGGCCTCATGAGAGCTGATAAGAACCATTTCAAGAAGGTGGCAAGGCCGGGAGTGGTGGCTCACGCCTGTAATCCTAGCACTCTGGGAGGCCGAGGCAGGAGGATCACTCAAGGTCAGGAGTTCAAGACCAGCCTGAGCAAGAGTGAGATTCCCGTCTCTACTAAAAATAGAAAGAAATTAGCTGGACAACTAAAAATGCATAGAAAAAATAAGCTGGGCATGGTGGCGCATGCCTGTAGTCCCAGCTACACGGGAGGCTGAGACAGGAGAATCGCTTGAGCCCAGGAGTGTGAGGTTGCCGTGAGCTAGCCTGACGCCACGGCACTCTAGCCC